AGTTACTACATTTTAAGAACTGTCGCATGCATTGTGACTAATGTTTATACTATTTCGTGCGAATGGAAAAAACCCTTTTCTCCTGTCTTCATTGTATCTAAATACCTGTGCACTGCATAAACCCTCAAATACGTCCGTCCTCTTTCTTATATGGTAGGTACATGAACTAGGCACACCATGGAATCATGCACCTGGCCCGAATAACACCTTAGTTGTGAGGATTAGCAGATTATTGATGGATGAAACTAATGTAGAAACACTACTACAACAGAATAATAGGCTGTTCAGGAAAAAGTTCATCGGTTCAGTGGATAGTAATGGCGAAACTTACCTGCAGGACCGTTCCGATGTTATAAAATATAATGATAGCTCTGACGCACGATCTAGGAACAGTAGTCCCCGCGCCAGTTCAAGGAAGAAGTCGAACAGTACGATGGATCGTGGTAACATCGACAAATCCAACGAATCCTTAAATTTGAATAATTTTGATGTGGATCAAGGCAATGAAAAGTTTGGTGGATCTACGCATTTTGGCAGCACAGAGAGTCTGCTTGAAAGGCGAAGTGATCATGGTAACGACGTTGATCAGGACGTTAGCGCGTCCATGCTCTTTGACAGCAGGGATAGTATATTCCAGAAAGGAGCCGATGATATTTTTAATAACAAAGAGAAACTTCATAAATCTGCAAATTATGACAGCATGGAGACCATTCTTGAAGAACGGGATGACGATGATGTTAGCGATGACACAAAGATTGCTGCGTCCACGCATTTTGGCAGCATGGACAGTATATTCCAAGAAGGAGCCCGTGTTGGTGATGACTATTATCAGGGAGAAACTGACAAAATCGACGAACCATCAAAATATCGTAACAAGCATAAAAAATTTTCCATTACAACAGGAATGGATATTGATGATGAAGTTAACAGTTATGTAGATGGAGAACGACAGCGGAATAAATTTACCGGCAGTCGAAATGGAGATTCCCTTGAAACCATCCAGTTAGGTGAAACGTTTGGAGCAGCGGATTCTATGATTGGGTTAGAGAAGTTGTCACCATACTTACAAAGTAAGGCACAAGGTCGAAGAATAAAGAAGAAGCGCAGAGGACTTTTTAGTGCGCTGATACATACTGAAGCTACCAAAAAAAACTCGTCCGTGCGGTATCCGTTTTCTCCTCTCTGCCGTGGATTTCCATTCCCCATCCTGCCGACTGCTGGGGCTCTAGTCTGAAGTCTCACATTATTATCTGTACCTGGACTCATCCTATATATTATGTTCCGGATCGCGCTATTGCTCCTGCTCCACGAAAAGGAAAATTCAGGAGTATCCAATAAAAAATTAAAAGACAGAACATTCTCAAAAAAAGACAAGCAATCTAGAAGCACCTGGGAAATTAAAACTATCCTGGAAACTAAATTTACCGAAGAAAACATACGTATATTCCGCATTCTACTTCTAGTAGACTATTTCCATGTTATGGCATGATTTCATAAATTTACTGGATCACGCATTTTATGGTATTTTGTACTATTTGTATGACAGGGTTTATGCATATTTGTCATACTTAGCCTGTAGCTCCGTCCTAAATTGCACTGATGTCTATATCTTTCCAATATATATATTTTGCGCATATATATAATGCGCCTTGTTTATGTAATTAATTCTTTATTGATATAATGAGGAGGGAACCCGCTTCGAGCGGAATGCATCCTTCTTTTTTCTACATAAACAGATATATACATATATAAATGTACATATATATATATATTTGTACATGCATAACTTATAATCTTTTACATCATACATGTAACATACATTATACTATAATTACCACAATATGCTCCTGCATCGGGTAATTCTTTTGCGGAATATAAAAATTTTCCGTTCTCTTTCATTCACATTTTAAGAACATGAAGTCTTGAACTATGTTTAACAACATATATAAAAACGACAAAAGTATGATTTATTATTTTGATGAACACATCATATAGAAACCTATGTTCTTAGTTCCTGCTGTTGTTCAAAGTCTACTGCGTAAATAATAATTCCACGTGACCTCTGCTCAGAAGCTGTTGTCTTTCAGAAATATTCCTTAGCCATGAACAATTGCTACGACAACATACAATATACTTAGAAAAATATATAATTCTCAGGAGGCTTCCAAATAGAATAAACTGAGTTTGCATTTATTTTGTACATATTTTATTCACAAGAATAAGAATTTTTCCTTCTTATATATTTCACAAGTTATATAGCATTCATCAGTGTACATCATTGTATCATCGAACCATCACAAATTTTAAAGAGAATTGAATTAATCCGAACACTCAATTTTGTTCCTTCCCCTTAAAAGTACGCATACCCTATTTATCTTTATCAACATAGAAAATGAGAACAAATGTCCAAATATCCATAATAAAATTCTTATAAATACATCGTTCCCAGAATTGTTCTAATATTGAAAAAAACTAGACTCCATCACTTCCCTAGTTTTAAAATAATATGTTACCGTTCATTACAAATAGAAAGGTGTTGCTCATTGTCTGAGTTTAAAAATTCGTACCTATTATTAAATGATCAAGTCCTTTTACTCCAAGTAAGTTTACCCATTAAAAAGACCCCCCCTCCAAAAAAAAAGAAAAGAAAAAACTACTAGAGACGCATGTCCAGAATGCGGGCACATGTACATATGTATCATCAAATGAATCATAAAAAATAATTTATTTATTCTTTCCCTTTAAACAAAAAAAGAAAATTTCAAAATTGCACATTTGTATAAACGTAAAAAAAAAAAAAAGTGATTGTAATTATTTTTTATAAAAAAAAACAGAAAAAAAACGAAAAAAAAAAGGGCGGGCGATCGATTCCTCCTTTTTCCAAGGCAACTTTCAAATTAGCAATGGCTACATCATGTGTACCGCACAAAATATAATTATACTTAATTTAGGAGTGCAATACGTTACATGAAAAATGCTCTCGAAACCTTCACTCCGAGCACAGCTAGCACCCTTTCCTGGTGTGCCGCGTTCTCATTCTACTGGACGTGATAGGTTCTTGCTAACGTGTCCCAGTGAACAAATCAATCCCACCCCCAAGTAGGTAGTTATATACATATACAATAATATGCACACACTATGTAGGGTGCTCTTTCCATTTCCTTTTTTAGTAAAGAAAATCCTCATGTTACATAATATATATGTTTTAGGCAAATTAACATATTTTTCTAATTTTGTAACATACTCAAATCTTGGACGTATGGAACGAGACAATATAAGTGTGCTGCATATGATTAAAAGTAAATTGTCCCATAACTGATAAATATTTACTGCTTTGCATATGGTATATGTAAAAATAACTTAAGCCCGTATATACCACATAAACAGAAAAAAAAGAAACAAAGGTATCTACTCAAATTCCTGACCTCTGTTATGTTAGCAACCTAAAGGAAATATGCCGAAGTAACTATTCATGTAACAACTAAATTTTATACTACATATAATAGCATTTTCTGTAATAATATTTTCTAAATTATTCTGTTCCTAATGAATATTTCCGACATTCATATGCCCTATATTCATATTTTCCATTCCAATGTGTTCTATTTTAATATTTTGTACGATACTAATTTCTATGATTCGAAGGGCTCATAGATTTCTATATTATACATCATGAACACTATATTAAAATATTCTGAATAAAATACCTTATCATTTTGAATAGAAAAGCATATTTACCCCAAACCTAAAACCCTTTAAACCGGGAAAAAACTCCATCATACCGTAATACAAATGATTTAACCTTCTTTTATTAACTTCCTGCCATGGTTATGCCTAAGTTAAAATAATAAAGTTCTATTGCATATATAGGAACTTTATTTTTCAAAATATATAATATTCCCATTTTTATTCGACCGTCTGAAAGTGCGACCATATTTTTTAAAACGTGCGCAAATATGTCTTACAAAGTACCAAGCACGTAATTCATTTTACATCATTATAATATAATATGTAATAAAATGAATTTTTTCATATTATTCTACATTACCATATTTCTTTTATATGTATTCTTATGCATATTAATTTCTCATTTAAATTATATAATATGAACACGTGATAAGGAAACAGTAAATAAAATGCGCAAAAAACTTAATTAACATGGTTCCGCTTAAAAAAGAAAAGAACAATTCTATACTGCTTACATATATAATAAAAATATATATGTATATAATCCGTACATACATAAAAAAAAAAAAAGAATAACCATATAATACATTACAATATATATGAGAAAAAAAGAACAAACATATAATCCATACATATATATAAAAAAATAATAATAATATAATCCATACATACATAAAGAGAACAGAACAATCATATAATCCATGCATAAATATGAGAAAACAAAATAATCATATAATGCTATCATATAAATAAAACAGAGGATATATCGCAATTTTGAACCTTCTTTACGCTAAAGGAAAAGGAAAGGAAAAAAAAAAAAAAAAAGAATGATATCTCCCGCGAAACCTTCTATACTCATTCTTGTTCTGTCCTGGCAATGTCTCAACCATGTATGATAATAAGAAATATATGTCAGGGATTCTCACATTTATTATCCCTAAGTAACCTTTATCATTTTGCTAAAATTTATAAACCTCCTTCTTTTTTTTTTTTTTAACGTTCTATATCAATGTATATACACTATAAATCCTGAATGTTTCTTTTTTACATGTTAGGTAAATGAACTAGGCTCACCATGGAACCATATAGCCGAGCAAAATGACCCTGTCGGTGTCAGGATGAGTAGATTACTGACGGTCGAATTGGATATGCAAACACCACAAGCAAATAATAAATTACTAACCAGTCCTGGTAAAGGTCAACCGAAGAAAGTCGCATCGGGTCAGAAGCCAGGCAAACCAAAGGCGAAGGTTACGTCGGAAGGGTCATTGCCACCATCCCAACAGAATAAAGTACACGGTGAACAGAAAGAAACAAAGCCGAAAGGAAATGCGGTGAAGCGTGGAACGAATAAGCAAACACCCGAACAACATAAAGCACCCGCGAGTCCTAATAAAGATCTTCCCCAGAAAAACGCATCTGGTGTGAAGTCTGGTAAACCAGATTCTACAGTTGGATCAGACGGGTTATTAATATCTCCACAAAATAAGGCACAGAGTAAAAAAAAGAGAAAGAAGCCTAAAGGAATTGACGTGAACAGTGAAACCAATAAACAAACACCCGAACAACATAAACCTCCCGTTAGTCCTAGTAGAGATCCTCACAAACAAAACGCGTCGGGTGAAAATTCGGAAACATCAGACCCCAAGGTTACATCAGACGAGTTGATACCACCCCCACAAGATGAAGTAGAGAGTGCAGAAACGGGAAAGAAGCCCAGAGGACTTTTTAGTGCATTGAAACATACCATAATTACGAATAAACAATGGACCCCCTTCACTGTGGGTATTATTGCTTACTTCATAATAATGATCACTACAAAAGTACTTCCTAAGGATCAACCTGGAGCTACCATATCCTTAATCGCAGTTGCAGTAAGCATACTAATTATGCTCCTGATTGTGCTATTCCGGTTCTACCATCGAAGGGGAAAATTAGGTTTCTTGAATGACATTTTCAAGTGCAAAACGTCCTAAAAAAAAGCCAAAAGCATGGAATGTCCGAGACATCAGAAGTACCGTCATTATTCTACTTCTGGTAGGCAATTCCAATGCTATGGTATAATTTTGTACCTGTATTGGGTAGACTTCCTTGTATGATATGATTCATTCATATTTGTAATATTTTTGTGCGAAATCTGTTTTAAATTATAATATTGCTTATATCTTTGCAACATACATGGTTTGCGCACATATAATGCGGCTTGTTTATGTAATCAGGTACTCAATGATATTATGAGAGGGGAACTCATTCTAGAGAAGGATACATCCTTCTTTGTTCTCTCTCTATATATATGTACATATATATATTTGTATATAACTCATAATCCCCTACATCATAAATGTAACATATATTATATATTGATTATTGTGGTTATTTCATAAAGGTAATACTTTTATAATATGCAAAAAGTTTTTTTTTTTTTTCCTGCATTAACATTTGTTTTCCCCTGTGTATAAACTTTAACATTGCCAATGAAACGGTTAAACGTTACTTCTGATATACACAAAAGGTAAGATCTTACAAATTGTAAAAGTCAATATATACGATAGGTCTGCACGACAAAATGGCGTGTCGCATTTGTGAGGATAATGTGTTATATTCTCGTCCCACGATGTGCTGGACGAACAAAGTGAAAGTGTGTAAGGGGAAGGGAAGCTTGCGACTACCTTGTCTAATCGAAGTTACCGTGTGCAGCCAATGAATAACTTACACATGGGAAATTTTCCTAATACACCAAGTCTAGATGATGCTGCACTACATAGGGGAATGTACTAATGGAGAGGCTCAGGGACGGAGGAATTTCCCCTTCTTGTGTATTTAGCACAGTTCAAAACGGCACACATTCGATAATAGTTTAGGCTAAACAGACAAATATATGACAAGCTGTAATTTCTTGCTCCCCCAGGTTGTAAGAATCGCGGTCATACACATAGATAGATTGGCAGAACCCTCCTCACTTTTTTAAGTAAAGAAAAAAAGCAGGAGTTATGTACCGTCTTATGGAACAAACAGCTTTTGTCCAATGCAGCGAAATAATTGTATTCCAACGAACAATAACAACATATTTTTATTTTTCCATCTTTTATAAAACTCCTAAACCCTGAACACTATTCATTTTTGCCGTCCACTTAGCACACATATGTATACAGAAACACATGGACAACTGATGATAATTTTATATGTCTGAAAATTTCCTCCCTTTTCCCCCCCTCCCAATTCTGTATTTTAAGAAACGTACCTTATTATGTATCACAAGATATTCTCCTCGCAGAGACCAATTTGTAAAGTTAATGATGAGATGAAGTAGTTACCTCCCGGGCGCACTTTGTCCAAGTGTATCTATCGGCTCAAAATGTAGCCAATTCCGTGCCATCTCCCATACATCCTTCACCGCTGTTTGTTACTTTACGGGGTGTAACGCAGTTGATGTGGATGATGTCTCATCGCATTCGCCCATGGGCGCCCATACTTGTCTACCACCTCCAATGGCACCCGCTTACGTATACACCATTTTGCAAACAAATGTTAAAGGAAATGTGTTCACCATGTTATAAAGGGAAGAATGGTTCACATGGGTTCGGAATGGGAAACAAATGGGGACAAGAAAACATGTCACATGTAATTCAAAATATAATTGAGAGCATAACTCAAAAATAAAGAAAGATAATTCACAAAACGGAGGCACACTCTGCCCCTTCACGCTCGTACAGCACGTGCAAGCAGTGCGCCGATATTAAGGGAACCACAAAACAGGTGAGCCCAATCGGGGGACAGCGTCGCGCCATGAGCGGAGCTCTGCGCCTTCGCAGGTTCTGTCCATGGGGATTAGCGACCACAACATCGCTGCCCCGTTCTCCAGGTTAAAATTACATCCAACAGATGTCCATGTGTTTAGTTCTCCTAAACGAGTGCTGCAATCTGTTCGTCCCCTGTCTTTTCATACGCCGAGTAAAATCGGCCCATGACCTGCGCTTAAGTTCTAGGTACCTCTGAAACTCCCACCTAGCACATATAGGCTCATCAGTAGCGAACGCCTTGATATTTTTCATTTCAAATTTTTCCCTTTTCATTAACATTTTCATCATTTTATCGTGGACGTACTTAAATTTCTCCGCTTCGTACTCCCAGGGGACATTGTAAGAGTCCGCCAACACCCCACATGCTTCTTGCATGTCTTCCATCATGCGAATATATTTTTCTTTCTCATGGTTATGCACATAATTCAATACACAAAGCATGGTCATAGTATCTACAGGTCCTTTTAATTTATTAATCTTTTCGCTCAACTCTTCATCAGTCATATCTTGCGAGTTGTGGTCTCTAAAAAGCATAACATTTTTGATCCCTCTTTTTTTTTCCCTTTCAGTCAACACATTTGTGTATTTCCCTGAAAAACTTCTTTCCACATCTTTATATATTTTTTGAATTTCTGGTGACACATCTGTATCTCTACCACTACATTCCCTTGGATGAAAGACCATTTGTCCGTCCTCCGTTAAATGGAGTTTCCTGAATGCCTTCACATGAGATGGAATGCATGCAGACAAATTTCTCCACCGCCTACCATTCCGCACATCGTGGATTCCGTGATAATTGTCCCTTGGCCACCCAGGGCAATGTACATTCTACAAAAAAAAGGAGGGGGGAAATGGACTTCTTTAGGGGAGGGTTCTCCTTAGGGCACTTTAGAAAGCCGTTTTTTAAGCTCAGCATATAAGAAAAACCAGGGGAGTGCAGAGAAAAAAAAAATGAAAAATGAACAAATGTACCACCATTTTCCTTTCCTTCTTACCTGTATCAATGTGTAGAACAAAGAGAGGGCCAACGCGCAAAGAATCGCGCCGGAAAAAGTAAAAACCGAAAATGTACTTTTTTCCTTATCGCCCGTGATTCCTCTGTGTCCTGCGAACGCATTTTTTTGGGGGGAGCCGCTCCCAAGTTTATTGTTCTTCCCCATTACGAACTTTAGCGGATCAAATAGTATCGGCCTCAGTGGGTAACACTCCTGCATTTTGCACTTTGAACTTTTTCTTTGGAGAAAAAATTTATCCTTCCCATTATTGTCTGCTCTATATCACTCAGTGAGTTCTAACAAATAATTTTCTCCTTTCCACAAAAGGAAGAACTAACATTCTATTTATGTAGAGCTCGAATTGGAGACATTCGTACGATGCTCATTTGAGTCAATTAGATCGGGTAAAACGCGATCGGGTGGGATAAAGAAAACTCTTCTTTGTGCTTCAAAAATGCGAAATGGAAATTTTGTCGACAACAAAACAAAAAAAACTATCAGAACAAACCCATAAATATATATCTACATGTGAAGAAAAAAATTAGGCTAAACGGAGTTGTCACGAATTTCCCTGGAAAACGCACATGGAGCGTCACTCAAAGGGGATGAACGAATTTTCCCTTTTTTTTTTTTTCCGCTCCGACCTGAGCTTCAAAAAATCAAGCGTATTTTTTTCTGCATATATTATGCATATTTATACTTTGTGTGCATTTCGTCCCTGTCGCTTATACGCTTATAGAAAAACCGATATTTTCCACAAACACTTTATTATTTTTTGAAAAAACAAAATTATCGCACTGGGATGAAGACATATTATCATTTCCTGGTACATGTAAATAAAGCCTCATGCTGCGCATGGATCCCATATTCACACTCCAACAAAAAAAAAAAAAATTGCCTTCTAAAAAAAAAAATTAATACCATCTTTGCGGGGTAAAAGCATAAATTGAAAAAATTGTTGGATGGGAGAAACAAATTAGTTTGGTCAAATGTTGTAATTCTATTCTCATTCAATCTATGCTTTTCTCATCACGCAGATGTGCCAATGGATATACATGCATTTCAGTAAAAATTTATTTTCTGAATTTTCGCCTACTCATATACACTGCTATATCATAAAACAGTGTCTTCCCAGTTTTCTGCCAAACTGCAAAATAATGAAAAAAAAAAAAAAAAATGTGAGGCAGAATGCTTGCTTGTGCTAGCTGCGGGATCATTTTTGAAAGCCTCCTATTTTATAAGATTTATTAATGGTGGAAAAAATGAAACAAAAAAAAAAAAAAAAGGGACAAACACCCCATATTTTATTATTATTATTATTTTTTTTTTTTTTTGTTTGAATGTAACAAACATCCGATGGGGGGAAAGCACCCAATAAGGAGTAGCGAATTTGTTAACTTGTCAAAAATTAAAAATGTAGCAACCGGAAGATTCATATGCCTAACTGTTATACACAAACATAAGCCATATGCACATCCTTACGCGCGTTCCTTCTCCCATCATCCCTGCTCTACCCCTTAACGCGATTAGGATAAATGGGGCAGTTTTGCCGAGAAGTTCCAAATGGGCATGGCAAAAACTTACGGCAAAATAATTACAAACCCTCTTGTTGATACCCTCAAACAAACACACGTGTGATGGATGAACGAATGAATGAATAAATGACGATGGAAAGCTAAATACTTGTTTCCTTCCCCTGGTGGTCAATGTCGCGTCCGTATGTTCCCCCCCTTGTGTGTGCTCGGCCGACCCGTGTACTCAGCCAGGATTTGTATTTTTTGTTTTTTTTTCTTCTTTTCTTCCTGAGTTAGTTCTTTTCACCCATCCCTGAGCACTTAAATCACTCGGCATACATTAAATAATTCTGAAAAATACAAGCAGGTAACTAGTACATTTATACACTTGTGCACATAAGCTCACGGGATTGGGGGGCTCACTCAGGAGAAAATGCTCGGCAAGCGCGCTGTATACAAGCACCGGACACTTTGCACATGCGCACCTTCTTCTGGAAGTAAGCGGTACGAGATAAAAGGCTTGAATAGGGCGAAAAAAAAAAAAAAAAAAAAAAAAATGCAGTACAATCCAATAATATGGTAATAAAATGGTAATGTAAATGATGAAATGTTCGCACAGCCATGACGACGCGTGGCGCGCACTTGCGGCGTGTCCTCGCCTAAACTTGTTCTTAAGGGAAAAACTAGCGCTTCGAAAGCATGCGCAGGTACAATTGTGCAAATTTTTCTGTAGGAGCGTCCAATACGATAGGGAAACTGAGCCAGCAATTTGCCTTCTTGGGAAGCACACCAAGCTGTGCATTGGAAGAAGCATACACGCGCGCATGCATGCAGGCATGCATCCGTGTATTACACTGATGCACTCACTTATCGATGCATTCATGTGTTCGCTCGTGCTTGGCGGGTGAAAATCCTATTTTTCGAAAACAAAAAAAAAAAATACTCCACAAAATGTACTTTAAGTTAAAAAAAAAAAAAAAAGAGAGAGAAATCGCAAAAATACATTGAAAAGCTAACATGCCAAACAAGATATTCAACCCACAAGAGGATATTCAAAGTTCTAGTCATTGACGCCCGCTTGTACATGTTCACCTGTAAAGCAAAGTTCCATTCGCTAAATGTTCTAGAGTAATAATTTACCCTCCGCCGCGTAATACACACACATAATTGCACACTCTTCACGAGGACAAACCTCATAAACTGACCAGGTATCTAAGTCCATGTTCATCCACTCGCTCGGAAGTGAGCTAATGGGGCAACATGGGAAAAATTGAAAAACGCCTTCAACGCATACACACATTTGTGTAGCCTTATCGAAATACTCTCCATCCTTATCATCATTTAAAGCGGAGATGACGTGGGACGAATTTTCTTTTCGCGCTTTGTACGTGACCGCGTTACACATATTCATACGTTTTTTTGTTTGCTAACCCTCCGCCCTGTTCAGGCCTCTTAGTCGAAATTCTTTTCGTGTTTTTTTTTTTTTTTTTTTTTCTCTGGCTAGCCAAAATGAAGATTACAAAAGTGCTACTAACAGTGGCTGTTCTAGTGACCCTCAATTCACTCACACCATGCACATGTAAAAATTTATTGGTGCAAAAGGCGAAAGCAAAACTAGACGCATTCGATAAAAATATGAAGAGAAAAAATTTCAAAAAGAAGATGATCATCTCATCAGCAATATTAGGGGTAGCAATTTTGGCACATATACTAGCTGGAATAGGATACTATAATTATAAGAAAAAGGAACACTGTCATCATGAGCACAATGAATCCTGTGAGGAATGTAAAGTTGACGAAGCTGCAAAGAACGATGCCGAGCTAAATGAAGACAGTACAGATAAAGTAAATCCAACAGCGGAAAAAAACATGGCCTAATATTTGCCCTAGGAAAAACCATATTATCCATAGCTAAAGGACATTATGTTCAATATGGAAAATAAAGTCGAAAGGAGAAACTCAGACTTCGACAGGTATCACATTTCGAACATGTCTGTACGATGGTTTCAGAAACCTTTATCATATAATTGAACTGTGAAGAAAAAAAAAAAAAAAAAAAACTCAAACGGAACTCCAGGGCATAAATAAAGCAGTGGGTGGGCTACCCAGTGCTTAGCCAAATGGAGTGCAAGCTGTACATAGCACCCTGTTGCATATCCGTTCAGCCGTTTCTTTAGCTTTCTTCTTTTTTTCCCCCCCCCCCCTCCCCCCTGTTTTTATAATTTCATTGATGAACGCATGAATTTACACGTACAAACCTCACTGTACTTTTTACACACTTAAACTTGTTAAGAAGTGAACTGATCCTTCCCTGCTCCCTGCGGCGGCTTGGCCCACTTTGCGCACGAAAAAGGGGGCAATTAAGCAATTCGCCGAGCAAGCCTACGAACGATGTAACCCTATGCACCTCTTACTAACCCACACTTTTTCCGGCTACTAAAATTGGCAACAAAATAGGAACAACGTCAACGCATAAGTGTCCTTTTGTAATGCTCCCTTTTTGGATCGCACAAATTGTAAAGTATTTCTCCAAACGTCGGGGAAAGGGAGCCTTCCTCTTGTCCCCTCCGACACAGGAACGCCATACAGTAGTGGAGCACTTTCCAGGGCAACGTTAAAAAAAAAAAAAAAAAAAAAAAAAGTGTCGAGACACGCTCACAGTGGGCAAGTTGAAAGAACTAAGCTGTGGTCCTGTTCTGTACAGTTAAAGGTACATTCGGTCCAGACTAATCATGTGGTTCATCACGGCGAACTCTTGTCACGTCCCACGTTGGAAAAAGCCGCTCATCCTGTTCTGTTCCTTTTTTTTTCTGTTGCGTCTTTTTTTTATTTACATTTTTTTTTTTTTTTTTTTTGTTCATTATGCCATTTTCTCTACTATGTCTTCTCCGCACTAGGGAACAATGGCGCGTACGCCTGTGTTAAGCTCTCCGCATCATCGCTCTTATATTTTCGCATTTGTTTCCACTAAATTGACTTCACACGCGTGTGTAACCCTGCCCCCTCGCTTGTTTTGACATAATAACTGACCAGGGGGCAAGCCACCATAGGGGCACATTATATTTACTCTCTTTGGATCATTTGCTTATTTTGTCCCACTTATGGGTTACCCACCTCACAAGAACGCCATGTTGGCCTTTTCAACCTGGTACAACAATTTGTATAACAGGAAACCCACCGAAATGGGATGCAAAAAAAAAAAAAAAAAAAAAA